TATATATATATGCTTTCCAAAATGAAATAGAGTCCATTACAATGGTGTTTTTAGTATATTAATATACAAAGTATACTGAATCCTTCAGCCATTGTATGTATATATTGTGTTTTAATGTAATAATAGTAGATAATTAAATATATACATAGAATAAGTATATGTATATATATATATATATATATATATATAAGTGGTATAATGTTATAAACTATTAATATCATCATTAATACATTATATTGTATAAAAATTTATGTTGACATACAGTAAAAAATAAAATTTTATACCAATGGTATATATAATTATACCATTTGTATACGCATAATGTACAATTTAATATTGTCTGACAAAAATTTGGAGTCATGTTAATCGACAACAAATAAGATACATAAAGGTTTTAGAAAATAATACTATAAGATATGTCTTCCAAAATAAAATAGAGTCTATTAATCTCATATATGCACATAGCAACAGAAAATGTATTAATCTCTTCATTATTGTTCAGCGCTAATTTGGGAAGTTAAGGAGAAGAATCCGAACTGCTTTGGATTTGTTTTTTTTTGGAATAAAATGCTTTAGATTTTTTAAATCGTGATTCTGCGTTCATATTTATAGCTTCCTGCTAAAAATATAATTATTAGGTGCATTTTTTGTAGAATACCTACTACTGCTAGGCTACTGAAATTTTTTCTTAAAGAGAAAATTTCACATAAGAACAACTAAGCTTCCTACTATTCAATTTTATAGTCCATATTTCAATTTACAACCAACTAGCCCAAAAATATAGGCTAAGATTCAACATCCAACTCCAATAGGTTCTCAAAATTACTATTTAATTTTAAAAAAGATTGCTCAAGCTTTTAAGTTAATTTTCGAATCAGTAACTGTGACTCAAATATTAGTTCAACAAACCAAATCCATTTGGGTGGTGAAAATTAGATTCTTACAAGCTTAAATATGTGGGTTTAAATTTTGAATTTGATTTTGTGATAAATTTGGAGTGGGTATTATTTAGACTTGTTAGAAATTGTATAAGGAGGTTGTATATAAAATTTGAAGTCATTTAATGGAGATTTGGACTGGTTTTGAACAAGAATTACAACTGAAAATCGTGGAAGAAGTTCGTCTACAGACGCTTGTATAAAGGTGTATAAAAGTGTATAAGTTGTGTTTATACACTCATATACACTATTATACAAGATTATACATAATTATACAAAAAACTGACGTCGTCTTCTTCCTTGCGTCTTTTCTGAAATTTAACTCAAATCTTGCTTAAATCTACTCCAAATCACTTCAAATTTAAACTTTGAACACCTTTTGATATTTTCAATGAATTGGAACAACACCCAATCCAAATAACTAACAAACTAAAAAAATTCTATTTTTGAAAGCAAAGCTTTGAATGACCTTCAATGGTGGACTTTTACGTACTCTTCGATTTTTTTACATTGCAACCAAATGATATAGAGAAAGAAGCAGTAATGGCGAACGTCAACTTGAATCATATGTAGAAGATGTGAGAAGAAGAGAGAGTGAAAGCAATGGTTGTGAGAACAAAGATTTAACTCCATAGCTTTTAGAAGCAATGGTTGTAAGAACACAAATTTTAAATTTGTAAGAGTTAGTGTTTTCAAAATATGTACAATATGGGCTAGGTAGGGTAAAACTTAAAAATATGGGCCATTTTTTGTTATGGTGTGAAGTCATGTGTATTTTGTTTGTAATTCTTTCTTTCTTAAATATGGCCCCTGCTGATTCGGGTCCAAACCAAAATACCCGGGCAGCATATAAGCCCACATAATTCACAACTACTATAGAACCCTTCCTTAACCCCACGCATTCCGAAGTTTCTTGCAAAAACACAACACTCACACACCATGACTGCAAATTCTACATTGTAAAATAGCAGGATGATTCTTCTACCTTATCGCAGACTTGTACTAAACAACTCTAATAACTTTGCCATGGGCTCCAAATATTTTCTCCACAAGCCATCCATTACCATACACAAGACTATTATTCCTGTCCTTTCTTCAAAAACCCACCCTTTTCAAAACCAAAGACTCATCTTTTCAACATTTGCTTCAAAACCCATCTCCCCAATTCGTGGAACTTCAAACTTGTCTTACAGGCCCCACCGTATTCCCCCACCAGGTACTTTTTTTTGCGGTTCTTTTTGTCATGGGATTAATTACTGACCTCAACTATGCTTGTATAAACTTTGTAATATTCTTCAAGTGTTATTTAGGAGCCGTAATTTTCTTTTTAAACAAAGTTTGTGCAAAGAGAAAATGAGTAGAAGAAGAATTTTTTTAACCCTACCACTTATAAAAAAAAAAAAAGAAGCATGTTTTTGAAATTTGTTTTTGATAAATGAGAAATCCCCTAGAACCAGTGGTACACGGTGTGGATAAAGTACCAGACTTCTGGCTAATGTTGAGTTGTGTCCCACATAGGTGGTGGGTAATGGTTGCCTTGGTCTCTTATATGTTATTGGACAATCCTCATCTCATAAGCTAGCTTAAGCTAGCTTTTGAGGTTGAGTTAAGCCCAAGGTCCATTTTATCGTGGTATCAAAGCCAAACCCATCCCAATTTATTGTTACCAATGTTGGGCCCCCATTTATATTGTTCACGCTCCAGTTTGTAGGCCTGGGCGCGAGGGGTGTTGAGTTGTGTCCCACATCGGTGGTTAATGGGTGTCTAAGTCTCCTTATATGGTCTTGGACAATCCTCACCTCACCTCTTAAGCTAGCTTTTGGGATTGAGTTAGGCCCAAGGTCCATTTTTATCACGCCGTAGTCTTCATCCCGTGGCGTGTGTCTTAACCAAAAAGTTTTCTCCAAAAAAACTTGGAAAAACTTAAAATACATATTGGATTTTTTTGCAAGATTTTATAAAAGTTTCCACAAATAAACGCCACCTTTAATTATTGAAAACCTTTGTTTATATGATTTTGACCAATTTAATGGGGAACATGATCAATGAGAATTCATATAGCCGACTCCAGCTTGTTTGGGACTATTGAGTAATTGTTGTATTGTTTATATGATTTCAGTTTCTGGAGTAGTTCTGGAAGACCCAGTGGAGGGAATTGCAGAGTCAGAACATGTGAAGGCACTGAAGGAGAAATTAAGCCAGATTGGAATAGATATTGGTTCTTGTGGACCAGGGCAATACTCTGGTTTGCTTTGTCCAATGGTGAGTTACTAAGAGGTCTTTGGGAACCTTCTCTTTAAGAATGTTTTGTATGTAAGGGTGTTCAAGAGTATGGTCTTTATTGTTTAACTAGAAAATGGATCTCTCTCTTATATTGAAATGCAAACCATCAAATGGTATTTAAATAAAGATGCTTCATCTTTCACCGTGCGAGATCCTTCCAATTCACTTTCAACTTGGATTCTTTTATCGGTTCTTTTTGTATTTTCAGCATTTTAGACGAATTATAGGAGAACTTAAAAACCAAAGTAGGATTATATGGACTTCTGAGCAATTATTGAATAATTAAATTTTAAAAAAACATTATAGAACAGTTGTTTGAAAGGTTTTCTCTATTCACTAAGAATTTTTATAATTGAATGGGCAAAATTTTTAGTGTGTTTAAGTTTTGCAGTTTTTTGTTAATATTTTAATGAGTTTATGAATATCTTGTGCACGGATGACTTGGCAATAGTAAGTTTTCGATAGTGGTTCTCCATTTACCCTTAAAAGATTAACTCTATGGGTGTCCAATTTACCAAGTTTCAACACTACATGTTTAGTCAGGGTTGAAAGAGTCGTGTTGCATCTGGATTAGAGGACATATTCATGATTTCCTTCAATGAGCTTGGTGTCGAAGTAAAGCGACTTAGAAAGTTCAAGTGCATATGCATGTTATGTGTTCAGAGGATTCATTATCTTTGCATTGATCGTCCACCTATCGCAACCCTTGTTTAACTAGGCGCCTACTTAAGTAAAGTTTAGAAACCTCTAATTTATATTAAAAAGGAAATTATTATTGGAACGAAATGGGGATGGATAGAGCGGAATGGTCAGTGAGAATCCATACATGCAAACCAACTAGTCTAGAATTGTGGCATAATTCATCTTGATTGATTAATAGCTGTCATTTGTCAAGTTGCAGTAGGTATCCCTACAGTAGCCGTTGTTGGTTTTTCTATATTTTCTGTCAGTATGTTGTCGATAGTAATTCAAGCTACGGTTACTGAGTTTCTTGATGGTAGAAAAAATGAGATTTCAATGCCTGCATGCATGATACTTTGTTTGAGCAACAAATTATTGCAGATTTGATTCGAAACTGAATAGAGTTTGAAAGGTGAAGACATAAGATCTGAATGATAAATGCTTACAACCCTATCAATGATTAAAAGTGAATGGAGCTATTTCCTTGTCAAGTAGAATGATAAAGAAATGAGGTTAAAAAAGGAATAAAAAGAAAGACTTGCTGTGCGAAATAGAACAAAAGAAAAAAATCATAAAAAAGAAAAGAGAAAAATCATAATTAAAGATGCTCCTGCCCGAGGTCTTTGGTCTAGTGGTAAGAGTGCAGCACGTGATGTGTGGGTTTGTTGCACATCAAAGGTTCAAACCTTGTTATAGAAAAAAGCCTGGTATTTAAGTGGAGGAGGTAGAGTGGCGGATCCGTTATCCACCGAATCTCGGTTATCATAAAAACAAAAAAGAGAGAACAAAAAATTATCATACTTACAGGTGCTCCTTATCAAAAAAAAGAAAAAAGAAATCACACTTACAGATGCTCCTTCTGGTAGTTGAAAATTTTGCTTATTTAGAAGAAAATCGTGGTTCATATCTTCCACATGTGGGCACCTGAAGGCTGAGAGTTAAACTAGAAATGGTACTAATAGGTGTTAATGAGTTTAAGATTTTAGAAATTTTTTAGCATTATCGCATCTGAAATACGCTTAGAATGTCCTATATTGACAGTTAGTGCAATGTTTTTGCTTTGTAGTGCACAGGTGGGGATTCAAATGAAAAGAGCTTATCTCTCTTCATTACTCAGGATGGGTAACTAATTTTTTGTTTTGCACATCGTTTTTAAGGTATACTTTCTTTCCTCTCTAGCAATATATTTCTAAAGCATGTGAGTGATACCTAGGCATGCAGCTACATGGACATGCTTTCGAGCTAAATGTGGGTGGAGAGGTGGTACCCGGGTATAACATGTTTTGATGAGCTCATTAATCTTTTTATCTTGCATTTTCTTTGTCAACTTTTTTAATTCTCTTTTTTCATGCTGTTTCAGGCCTTTGCAGATGTGAAGACAGCTTTTGCAGATATGAAAAGGATTGGAAAAGTGACTAAGAAGTACAGACAGATAACTGAGGAGAGTTTGGGGCTGGAATCTTTATGTGATGTGGTATGTTGATCTGTCTTTTTATTTTACTTACATTACCAATTTGGATTTCAATAATATTTTCATCTGCATGTAGTAATACTTGTTTGCTTAATAGCTGTTGGGCATGGGTTTTTTTGAGGTTAAGTCACCTATTATTTATTGGTGCATCCTGCAAAACTTGGATAGTGTCCAAGACACTTGATTTTGCCATCAGCATACGTTGAGTTGTTCATAGCTTTCTTGAACGAAATATGGATAAATATGGCTGTTGAGTCTTTTGATAGATCACACTGGGTCGAACTTCATGAAGTGTTAACTCTCGTTGTTCTTCTCTTTTTCTTTCCTTATTTTCTACCTGTACTGCCCTCTTGCTTACATCTTGCTAGCATTGCTGTTGACAGTGAATAGTCCTATACACCCAGTCTCCTTTCTTATGATGAATGTTTCATTTTAGGCGGTACTAATGTCATCACCCCATTCTCAGTCTAGCCCACCACAACTGCAACAGTGCACGGAATCCATTCCGCTGGATTTCCATTTAAATTTTGGGGTCTTCAAGATTAAAATTGAATCAAGCCGACTTAAAAAATGACATATGGTTTGACTTGGTTCAGTTTGGTGTTAAATCTAAAAGACCGACAGTATTTGCTTTGGTTTTTTATTAACCAAAAAATGTGGAAACGAAACCGACCCCACCGACTATATGTTTACAAATTCTAACCTCTAGGTATAAAATATTTTATTACTAAGAGTTTTGTTAATAGTTTGTTTTCATTTTTATAATTTTATTTTTTATGACATTGGAATGTGGTTTTAGTGTTTCAAATTTAGGCTTGCTTGTGTTCCAATTCCACTGGGCACCCGCTGCAACTCCTAATCTAGTTTAAACAAATGCTCACATTTTGGTCATTTTTGAAATTCTTTCTTGAAAATGCTTCCTTTGTTTTTTGTTAGGGCTCTACAATTATAATCGATTTTAAGAATTCCCAAAAGGCTTCTACAGTAGTCATGGAGTCTAAGGTAGATTGGAAGATCCCTACTTTGTACTATTTTTACATTGTGAAATATTAACAAAACAAACACAAAAGACTTGAAATATTTTTCTCTTCATCATTTCGGTCTTAATTTTTTTTCTTCTGGTTGAATATGAAGGATGCCCACTGCGTTCCATCTGGTATCAGCAGCGTTCTTGTCTGTTTAAGGCTTTAAGGTAGCTTTCTAATGTTCGTAAGACTATCCCTTTGGTGTCTTTGCATCCAGCTGCAAGACTGTCCTCCACTTTGTTGCCTTCCCTGTGGGGGTGCAGCATTTCAGACCTTTATTTGCCAGATTTTCCTTCATGTCTTCTGCATTTACCTCCAATTTCCAAGGCCCTACCTTATGTTGAGAAGCAACATAGAGTCAACTTCTAGTATGCATCTCTATGTTTATTTGCAATGTAGCAGTTTATAACGTGCAGTACAATTTGTGCCTCTGCAATAATATTGCTACGTTCCAAAATAGATGGCAATTGCCATTGTGAGGTCCCATCTACGTTTTTCAGTCACTCTCCACCCCCAAAATAAATTGCAGATGCATTATGTGGTTGTCTTCTTTGTTCCTCAATATATTGCTTATTGATTATGTTTTATTTGAATGTGAATTTATGAGCTTTTGATTAGTTGATTTTCTTCTTGCTGCTCTTCAGTTACTCTCATACTTCTCTGAGCGAATGATATCAAGAGAAACATTGCGGAGAAATGCGGTAATGCAACGGAGATACGGTGATCAGGTTTGACATCCTGTCATTTTCTGACATATTACTTGATCAGTTTCTGTCGGTAGCTACCCTACACCCATAGACTTGATCACCTTTTGCCTGCATGCTAGCACCCTTAAGATAAAGATGTACCTCTGAATTATTTATTCAGTTTATTATTCTCTCACCCTTGCATTTGATTTACAATCGAATATTTCATGATGATACATCCTTGACTGAAGAATGATTCATCCTCGAGTAACAGAAATATTATGAGATACATTAGTTTGCTTGGTTAATTGGACTTAGCATTGGGAAAATTTCTTGTCGTAAATTTCTCTGTGTTTGCTTAAAATAACATAAACCCTCTCAATTAGCTTGTAAGAGTTCTTGAGGTGCTTAAAAGACCAAGCAAACACACAACCATGTTCAATAATGCAGGATCGAACAAATTGAACTTACCGATCACTTAATGGAGGAGACGCCTGAAGGTGTTGTTTGTATACTGTTTCTACCACACTGAAAATTGCAGATATCCTAACGAAGGGACTCTTGAGTTTTTGGTTAGTAGGTATGGCATGATAGAGATCTATGCACCAACTTCAAGGAGAGGGTTGATAATACGGTTTGGTTTTTAGAAGTCCTGTTAAATTTTTTTGACTAGTTAGAGAAATCAAGATTTTAAATCTGTTTCATCATTATCTTGTTAGTCCTTACCATTTCCTAGTTAGCTCCCATTTTCCAGGAAGGTTGAGACCTATTCTCAGCCTAGCTGTAATTCCTGAAACTATAAAGCAAGAGAATAATCCCTTTTCTGTGAAATCCACAAAGACTTCCCTCACAAGGATGATTTTCGAATAAATTCTGCAAAACTTGTTAGATCATCCAAGGAAAGTTAAGTACTTGATCAAACATAAAATTATCCGAGGAAAGTTGTGACCAGCCACTTTTTCTTATTTAAAATTTCCTTTTCCATTAAACAAAGTCTGATGAAAATGTTTTTGCCTTTTTTGTTTTATTCAACGTTACTTTTGTTTGAATTTTGAAACATATCTTCTGACTTTCTAGTATCCAAAAAACCAAGAAATTTAGGCTTGCCAGCCATCCACACCAGAATAAATTGAGATTTCCAAGAATACTGCTAGTACACCTCCCAGGGATAAGAGACGTAGGGCTAAAGAGAGAGCCAAATGAAGCAATATTGTTACTTTCCCTGCTCAAGGGGCTGCAATAACTCATCCTTGCAGTAACAAAGTCACTTCTTGGCTGTTGTAGCATTAATGTAAATTTGTTTTCAGATTGTAATTGCATTTACATATCGGAGGGATGGAGCACTTGTAAGCTGCAAGTACCGGGACATCACCAAAAAGTTTTGGCAGGTTAGTGTTAATGTTCTTTATTTGCTACTTAACATATTTATATTTACTTCAGTTAAAGGTAAAGATGCCATGGAGCACTTGTTTCCAAATAATTTTAGTTGAGGCTTCAATCTCATGTATAAAGTCACGTGCTTAACAGAGGCAAATCTAAGAACCTTATGTAAATTTCCGTGGTAAGAAGGGTGTGCGGAACTTCAAACCAAATTAAAAGCCCGAGTTTCTTAACCATATTTTTCTTTCAGTTTTGCCTTTTTGTTTCTCGATTTTTTTGGGTCTCATAGTCGAACACTGCTTGAAATTTGGTTCAGTACTTGGTATGGAACTTTTGATTCAGTAATCCAAAGAACTGAGTCCTTTAATTGCTAATGCGTCAAGCTCTGAAGCGGCAGTTTTATACTTATTAAATTGTTACCTGGAACCCTCCATTGTTCTCCTTTTCTAAGTATTCCTTTCTTATTCCTTTTTCCTTCCTCTTTCCCTTTTCCCATTCTCACTAGATGATGCCACTGTGACCCCTGTCTGTGTACTTACAATGCCTCGACCCAACTAGTTCGGTTGGCTATCTGGATCCTCAATATTATTGACTCCATTTGGACATATTTGAATACTCGATAATTTGTCTTTCAAGACGAAATAGGGATTCTCTAACATTAGAGGTTTGTTACATTTAGCGACATTCAAAATCCTTACACACATTAAATAGTCTCCTTGTTCAGAACATCAATTTGCCCCATTTTACATGTTACGGTAGGCTACATATTCTGTTGCTTGGCTTATTAGTCAAAATGGTTTCTTCTGTCTGAAGAGAGATATTCCATGTATTCTTTTTGTTTTAGATTTTGCAAACCAGTTATTCTGTTGCTTGGCTTATTAGTCAAAATGGTTTCTTCTGTCTGAAGAGAGATATTCCATGTATTCTTTTTGTTTTAGATTTTGCAAACCAGTCTGGTGTTGGTTTTGCTTAATTTAGCAGTATACTTGAGTTATTTTTTCTCTTTAGATATTATGACTCCTGTTAGAATAGTCATGTAAATAGGAGTAAATAAATAACCCTAATCCAATATATGTTAGGAGTAGGACATGTTATGTGTGTATATATATAGGGCTCATTGTAACATATGTATATACATCAATAATATATTTTCTCCCGTGCTTTCTCACATGGTATCAGAGCTTTAGTGAGAAACATATCGCTGTGCATCATTCCAGCGACTTCCGGGAAGAAAGAACTCAGTCACCGTGCAATTTTCCGGTGACCTAAGTGACTTATTGCGTCAAAGTCACTAATTAACAGTGTTGTGCAAAATCCAACACCACCACAAGGTTCCCAAGAGAGATCCGACCAAACCCCAGAAAAAATCACCGGAAAATAGCCCTCCACGCGCCGTCACGCGCCTGTCGGAACTCTGCCGCCGGCGGCGCGTCTGTCCCACGCGCCGGCGCGTGAGGCCTCTTCCGGCCATTTTTCGGCTTCGCTTCTTCAGGACAGTTGGATCGCCCTGCAATTCCGAGCCTGTCCATATTTTTATTTTTTAATTCCGACCACTTTGAGTTTTTCCGGCGACTACACTGATTTTTCCGGCAGCTACAGTACTTTTCCGGCAAACACAGTGTTTTCTTCATCTGTTTCAGAGAATTTTCAGTTGATTCTTTTTGTTATTTGGTGATAATCCAACCATGTCTTTGGGAGTCGATGCTTTCGGGTCTAGAAACCCGAGTTCTGGCAGTTCCGGTGTTATGATTACCTCAGAACCTTTAATGGGAGGTTCAAACTACTTAGATTGGGCTTCATCTGTCGAGTTGTGGTGTAAAGGTCAAGGAGTTCAAGATCATTTAACAAAAAAGGCTAGCGAAGGTGATGAAAAGGCCAAAACACAATGGGAGAAGGTCGATGCTCAGTTATGTAGTATCCTGTGGCGATCTATTGATTCCAAGTTGATGCCCTTGTTCCGTCCATTCCAGACATGTTATTTAGTTTGGGAAAAGGCTCGTAATCTATACACTAATGACATATCTCGTTTCTATGATGTAATATCGCGAATGACAAGCTTGAAGAAACAGGAATTAGATATGTCTACTTACTTGGGACAAGTTCAGGCAGTCATGGAAGAATTTGAGACGTTGATGCCAGTTTCTGCTAGTATTGAAAAACAACAAGAGCAACGACAGAAGATGTTTCTAGTTCTTACACTCGCTGGACTCCCTAATGACCTTGATTCAGTACGTGACCAGATTTTGGCTAGTCCAACCGTCCCCTCAGTTGATGAATTATTCTCTCGATTACTTCGCCTTGCTGCAGCACCTAGTCACCCAGTGAGCTCATCACAGACACTTGACTCATCTGTCCTCGTATCCCAATCAGTGGACAATCGGGCATCTCATACTATGGAAAATAGACGAGGAGGAGGTCGTTTTGGAAGATCTAGACCCAAGTGCTCCTATTGTCATAAACTTGGACACACTCGTGATGTATGCTATTCTTTACATGGCCGCCCAACCAAAAATGCTTATGTTGCTCAGACTGAGACTACAGGTAACCAGGGATTTTCTTTATCTGAAGGGGAGTATAATGAGTTCCTTCAGTATCGAGCAAGTAAGCAGACATCTCCACAAGTAGCTTCTGTTGCTCAGACTAATACTTCTGTTGCTGGTAATTCTTTTGCTTGTGTTTCCCAGTCTAGTCCTCCTGGACAATGGGTTGTGGACTCAGCCGCTTCTGATCATATCTCTGGTAATAAATCACTTTTGTCAAATATTGCGTATTCACAGTCTCTTCCCACTGTTACTTTAGCCAATGGGTCTCAAACCAAAGCAAAAGGAGTTGGACAAGCGAATCCCCTACCCTCTGTCACTCTAGATTCCGTTCTCTATGTCCCTGGCTGTCCTTTTAATCTTGCATCTGTTAGTCGTTTGACTCGTGCCCTCCATTGTGGTATATATTTTATTGATGATTCTTTTATTATGCAGGACCGCAGTACAGGGCAGACGATTGGAACAGGACTTGAATCAGAAGGGCTTTACTACCTTAACTCCCTAAAATCCTCCAAGGCATGTCTAGTTACAGATCCTCCGGACCTAATTCACAAACGTTTAGGACATCCAAGCTTATCCAAGCTTCAGAAGATGGTGCCTGGTTTGTCTAGTTTATCCACATTAGAGTGTGAGTCATGTCAGCTCGGGAAACATACCCGAGCCTCCTATCCTCGTAGTATTGAGAGTCACGCAGAGTCTATTTTTTCTTTAGTTCACTCTGATATATGGGGTCCTAGTAGAGTCAGTTCAACCTTGGGATTTCGTTATTTTGTTAGTTTTATTGATGATCATTCAAGATGTACTTGGATTTTCTTAATGAAAGATCGTTCTGAGTTGTTTTCTATATTCCAGAATTTTTGTGCTGAAATTAAAAATCAATTTGGTGTTTCCATTCGCACTTTTCGCAGTGATAATGCCTTAGAATATTTATCCTCTCAATTTCAGCAGTTTATGACTTCTCAAGGAATTATTCATCAGACCTCTTGTCCTTATACCCCTCAGCAAAATGGGGTTGCAGAGAGAAAGAATAGGCACATCATTGAGACTGCTCGCACACTTCTCATTGAATCTCATGTTCCGCTGCGTTTTTGGGGCGATGCAGTTCTCACAGCTTGTTATTTAGTTAATCGGATGCCTTCCTCTCCCATCCAGAATCAGATACCGTATGCAGTATTGTGTCCCCAATCACCCGTATACTCTGTTCCCCCTCGTGTTTTTGGGAGCACTTGTTTCGTTCATAACCTAGCCCCTGGGAAAGATAAGTTAGCTCCTCGTGCTCTCAAGTGTGTCTTCCTTGGTTATTCTCGTGTTCAGAAGGGCTATCGTTGTTACTCACTTGATCTTCGTAGGTACTTTATGTCCTCTGACGTCACATTTTTTGAGTCTAAACCTTTCTTTACCTCTTCTGACCTTTCTGACCCCCTTGATATATCTGAGGTCTTACCTATACCGACCTTTAAGGAGTCTACTATAGCTCCTCCTTCACCTTCCGCCACAGAAGTCTTACCCGAGTCTCCTATAGCTCCTCCTTCACCTTCCGCTATAGAAGTCTTATCCATTCCAGCCGTTGAGGAGTCTAGTGTGGCTCCTCCTAGACTCCCTGCCACAGGAACACCACTTTTGACATATCATCGTCGTCCGCGCCCAGCATCAGGTCCAGCTGATTCACGTCCTGCACCTGACCCTGCTAATACTGCGGACTTGTCTCCTCTTAATCAACCGATTGCACTTCGGAAAGGTATACGGGCCACCCTTAATCCTAATCCCCATTATGTCGGTTTGAGTTATCATCGTTTGTCATCACCCTATTATGCTTTTCTATCTTCTTTGTCCTCTGTTTCCATCCCTAAGTCTACAGGTGAAGCATTGTCTCATCCAGGATGGCGACAGGCTATGATTGACGAGATGTCTGCTTTACATACGAGTGGTACTTGGGAGCTCGTCCCTCTTCCTTCAGGTAAATCTACTGTTGGTTGTCGTTGGGTGTATGCAGTCAAGGTTGGTCCGGATGGTAAGGTTGATCGTCTTAAGGCTCGTCTTGTTGCCAAAGGATATACTCAGATATTTGGGCTCGATTACAGTGATACCTTCTCTCCTGTGGCTAAGATAGCATCAGTCCGCCTTTTTCTATCCATGGCTGCTGTTCGCCATTGGCCCCTCTATCAGCTGGACATTAAGAATGCTTTTTTACACGGTGACCTTGAGGATGAAGTTTATATGGAGCAACCACCTGGGTTTGTTGCTCAGGGGGAGTCTCGTGGCCTTGTATGTCGCTTGCGTCGGTCACTTTATGGTCTAAAGCAGTCTCCTCGAGCCTGGTTTGGTAAGTTCAGCACAGTTATTCGAGAATTTGGCATGATTCAGAGTGAAGCTGATCACTCTGTATTCTATCGGCACTCTGCTTCGAGTCTCTGTATTTATCTGGTGGTCTATGTTGACGACATTGTTATTACCGGCAATGACCAGGATGGTATTACTAAATTGAAGCAACATCTCTTTCAACACTTTCAGACTAAGGATCTGGGAAAATTAAAGTATTTTCTGGGTATTGAGGTCGCTCAGTCTAGCTCAGGTATTGTGATCTCACAACGAAAGTATGCCTTAGATATTCTTGAGGAGACAGGAATGACAGGTTGTAGACCTGTTGACACTCCGATGGATCCGAATTCTAAACTTCTGCCAGGACAGGGGGAGCCTCTTAGCGATCCTGCAAGATATAGACGGTTGGTTGGTAAATTAAATTACCTTACAGTGACAAGACCTGACATTTCCTTTTCTGTGAGTGTTGTGAGTCAGTTTATGGATTCTCCGTGTGATAGTCATTGGGATGCAGTTGTTCGCATTCTTCGGTATATAAAATCAGCTCCAGGCAAAGGTTTATTGTTTGAGGGTCGAGGCCATGAGCAGATTGTTGGATACTCAGATGCTGATTGGGCAGGATCACCTTCTGATAGACGTTCTACGTCTGGATATTGTGTCTTGGTAGGAGGAAATTTGGTGTCCTGGAAGAGCAAGAAACAGAATGTGGTTGCTCGGTCTAGTGCAGAAGCAGAATATCGAGCAATGGCTATGGCGACATGTGAGCTAATTTGGATCAAACAGTTGCTCAAGGAGTTGAAATTTGGTGAGATTAGTCAGATGGGACTTGTGTGTGATAATCAAGCTGCTCTTCATATTGCGTCAAATCCAGTGTTCCATGAGAGAACTAAACACATTGAGATTGACTGTCACTTTGTTAGAGAAAAGATACTCTCGGGAGATATTGCTACAAAGTTTGTGAAGTCGAATGATCAGCTTGCAGATATTTTCACCAAGTCCCTCACTGGTCCTCGTATTAACTACATATGTAACAAGCTTGGTACATATGATTTATATGCACCAGCTTGAGGGGGAGTGTTAGAATAGTCATGTAAATAGGAGTAAATAAATAACCCTAATCCAATATATGTTAGGAGTAGGACATGTTATGTGTGTATATATATAGGGCTCATTGTAACATATGTATATACATCAATAATATATTTTCTCCCGTGCTTTCTCACAACTCCAAAGATCAATTATTAAATAGTTTGCAAACCCAAAAAAAAGAAGAATCAAAAGAACCAATTTGTCAAACTGATCCTTTTTCTACAATCAGTTTAACATTGGTTGTTTTGGTCTGTTATGAACGCCCATCCCTATTGGGAAAGCTGGAATAGTGATGATGTCCTCAAAAAGAGATGGGGATTTCCTTCTTGATTGAATCTCATCTTCCTTTTCTGATCAATCGAATGGTTGAGCGTCTTCTATTAAGTTTTTGAAGTACAAATAATATTACAATTTCATATTTCTTCAGCTCTTCTAAATTATCTGTTTATGTACTAAAGTTTTGTTCCTAACTCTTGCTTCTAATATGCTAATTAGTTGAAGTGACTGTATCCTGCACTTGTTTTGAACCTTATCATTACACTGTTGATTTGCAGGAAGCTGATACATTAAAGATATTTTATGGTCTAGACGATATAAAAGGAGCAAGTGATATCATCATTGTAACGTCTGATTCACTCATCATTCCATCCTTGAAGAAGTAGATTAATTCATTTCTGATATTATATATTGCTCTACATCTCTTGTGTTAGGTTGAGGGTGAGATGGACAAGCTTGCTATGGAAGAAGCTGGCTTTCGGAACTGTGTGAGCGTTCCCGATGGGGCACCTCCAGTTATTTCAGATAAAGAGTTGCCACCTGTAGATAAGGTTTCTTCTCTATAATTTGTCCTAAAAAAATGGATTTTTAAGTCAAGGCTTTATCGTCATAACTTGTGTATATGGATCTAGTACCTAACTTTTGTTTATATGGATGTCATAGCTTGCTCACTTCTCATGCATAATAAAACATATGCACACTTTCTTTGTTTTTTCATCAAGACTTTTATGGCTTCAGGCTAGAGTTGCAAAGTCTAATTTGTTTCTTGTTCTTTTTGTTTCTGCCCCCTCTAATTGTAATATGACGCTTATCTCGACTAGTGCATCCTCTAATTGTATTACAACCCTACACCTTTTTCTGATTCATGCATGTATTTATCATGTATCCTCATCCACTTTCTGCTGCCTTTGCTCCATCCTTTATTAGAGTGCAGAGAAGAGCTGTGCTCCTTATATTGGTATAATTAGCTAGCATCTTCACATATGCTGGACCTAATGCCCCTTTTTGTGCATTTTGTGAAGCTAGGACACAAAGTATCAGTATCTTTGGAACTGCAAAGAGTATTTAGAAAAGGTTTGCAGACTCCTCTTTGCTTTTATTCTCCTATGTTTATTATATGCATCGATCATGTAACAAGAAAATTTTGTTCTTTTACCATTTATAGGCATCTCGCATAATACTGGCAACTGATGGGGATCCACCTGGTCAAGCTTTAGCTGAAGAACTTGCCCGCCGCTTGGGGCGAGAAAGGTCTAGTATATTTAATCTCAGTGCAAATGATGGTAGAAATCGTGTTCTAGCTTAATAATGAGCCGTCTCAAGCTTTTCTCTTTGGCTATGTAGGTGTTGGCGAGTCACATGGCCGAAAAAGAGCACTGTAGACCGTTTCAAAGATGCAAATGAGGTTCTTCATGCATGAAATTTTCTTACCTATTTGTTTGTAGGCGAAAAAAGAAAGAAATTCATGAATCAGATCTTTTGTCATACTCTAGGAGCCTTCTGATTTGTGATTGGTAGTTGTGCACTTCCTCCAGGTCCCTCGTTGGAATTTGTTCTGTTAAATTTTATGTGTTTTGAGATTTGATATGAACTGCGAGTCTACAGTTAATTGCAGTCTTGTTAAGCCTGCTGTAGTTTTAAGCACTAGTAAAATGAGAGTTGTTTTGAAAGACGTTTAGCTTGGTTCGCAGTGTATCATTTGTTTGCAAATATTGGCTGCATACCTGATTTATAGCTCTCTCAACGAAATTATACTAGCAGTTACTTCACACAGTTGTGTAATTCTATAGTCGGTTTTATATCGTCTCCTCAATAACGTCCTTCCTGAGGCAAAATGGGATCTTCTTTTTGATAAACATGGACAGGAGGTCATGTATGCTCATGATTTAGCATGGCCCGGGTCTGTGCTCCAACTGCTTAGTGCAAATAGTTTTATCTTTATAAAAAAATGAAATAGTTTTATATTATATACAGCATCCTTTGTAACCTATTGCCAGCCATTATGAGTTTCCATAATGCTTTTCTTGTTGCCTTACTCATTTTAGTGCATCTAAGATGGTCGTTTCACCTGATTTCACCATTGTTCTCCAGTAACCTCAAGTTAAATTTTTCTGCACTGGACATTAATAGGTACTTATGTATCTGGGGCCTGGTGCACTGAGGGAGGTTATTGAAGGTGCTGAGCTATACCCAATACAAGGGTTATTCAACTTTAAAGATTACTTCACTGAGATTGAAGCATATTATCACCAAACAATTGGCTACGAGCTTGGGGTTTCAACTGGATGGAGGTCTTTAAATCAACTATACAATGTGAGTAGGCTCTTATTTAGGTACCAAGCTATGTCTCTAGCCTCTCAGTACTTAATAGGATAGAGATATATGCGTATTCATGCCAGGGATGCCAGCTACGCTGTAGGGACTTGTGGTTTACCTATTAGGTTTGACAAGAATATAAAGAAAGTTTAATTAACTTTTTTTTGGAGCATATATGATATCCCGGTTAGCATAGATGTTTTCTGTACGAGATTCTCAACATTTTTATTGAACTTCATATGAAGATTTTCTGTACTTCAATAAGATTATTACTTAATCAAGTCCCCGAGGTGGTAGTCTAGCGGTTGACAGTGTTATCAAAAGCGTGCTTAAAGCGCGCTTAAGCCTTGAAGCGAGGCTCAAAACATGTTGAACGCTTCGCCTCGCTTAGCGGGTACTTTAATATTGTCATCAAGTCTCTAAGGCATACTTTTCCGTGCTAATGAGCGTAAGCCGAAAGAGACGACACTAAACAATTGAGACTTTATCATAAATTTTCATCAATTTCTTTGTCCATATATTTGGTATTCATACTTGTATATATTAGTCTTGGACTGCATGTACATATTTGTAATTTTTCTCCATTTGCGCCTTTCTTCATTAAAGCCCACGCTTTATTTGCGTTTTGCGCTTGAAGCCCTACCATACCTTAGAGCTTTTTTGCGCTTTTCGCCTTTGATAATACTGACGGTTGAAGAGTTGGAGTAGTAACCTTTGGAACAAAGCTCGAAACCTAACAGAGGAGACACTAGGTTAATTCTTCCTATCTGTTAGAGAACCAAAAAAAAAAAAAGATGTGAAGAGAGAGATTCTGGTGAATGGAGAGGGGACATTGTTTACTGGCCTTGTGACGCTAGCGTATTACCTATAGACAAGATACTGAAGTAAAGAATCGAAAGGACAAAAATGCCTCTGGGATGCAATTCTTCAGCATAGTCAATGTCATCTCTAAATATTGCACTCACTTTGAACTTCCGGGAGCACAAACTAATATATGCATGCCCTAGTAACAATGCTGTTGTTTAAATAACCAAGCAATGGACAGTTATTATTACTTTGGATTGAGGCTCATTATTGGCATATCAGCATGAAAACAAAATATGAAATTCTACAGTGGCTGATCATCCCCCCCC